CATAGTCTGCTGATGCAGTGAAGTTAGATATCGAGAGGGTGAGAGGGAGATGGTGGACTGAGAAGAGGAGGAAGAAGAACTCTCTCTCTCTTATATGCCAGGTACTAACCTGTGAAGATGGCGCTGTGCTGCAGGTACCTCGAAGACGAAGCTGGCGCGATGGCGCTGCTCCGCCCAATCTCTCTCTCTCTCTCTATGGTGCTACTCTAGCTATGGCACCCAGTGCTGAAGACCACTGCTAACGCTACAAAGCGCCCAGCGCTAAAGACTATTGCTAGCGCTAATACTACTCCTGCAGCGCTCCTCCAGAGTGCTGCTGCCGAATCCTGAAGACTACCTCCTGCCTCCTGAAGTGCACGTGAAGTGCCTGGGAAGTACCTATGAACTACCTACCGGCCTGCAGGGCGGGCCAGTCCTATATAGTGCTGGCCCGTCCAGGAGGCTGCTCTTGCCAATGCCTCAACGTGCCAGACCCTGGGGTTGAAGCTCAAACAAAGGTTGTCTTGAAAATAGGCCAGAAATGGCCTGAGCTAAAACCCTGGTCTGGTGCCTGAGTTTCGGGGCAGGCCGAACTCATGAGGGCCCGGAAATGGCCCTCAGTTTCAGGCTGAAAACACTCAGGGCTGGAAAGGCCCTGATTTAGCCTGAAATGACACAGCGCCTGTAGGCCCTTGTTTTCAGGGTTTTGGCCTGAAAACCCTGAAAACGTCACGGGCCTGGGCCCCTATCTCTTTTGGGAACGATCTTTCCAATGATTTTCACTTCGACTTTCTTAGAATGCTGAATTCGCTGAAAGGGAAAACCCGTCCTACCAGGATTAGCAGTTCCGGCGGGAACAGATGGGTGACGCCTTTAAATTGGTCTTCGGAGAAAGTTTAGGAACGAGGAAGGGTCTTTTCTGTTGAAAGATATGAAAGATGTTTTTGAAAAGGAAGGGGAATGGGATTTGATATGCCTCATTAAGACTAAGACTGAAGCAGAAAGGAGGAAAGGGGAAATGATCTCTCTCTTAAGGGCACCCTGGAAAAGAAAGGCAGTTCTCAATAATAAATCCTCTGACGAATTGTGTATCATGTTAAAAAGTCTAAAGTGCATTGATATGAAGCGGGGGCGACAAATCATAAGAGGACTTATATCTACCGAATTGAAAAAAAGATTTGGTTTTAATACAAGGCAACGAATCGTGATTAGGCTGCCCGTCAGTCCTACTATCGACAAAAAGATGGTTAGGGCCGAAGCATGTGAATGGATGAGCGAGAGGATTGGTTCATCAGGACTTTCTGACCTGATGCAGAGGAAGCTGAACTGTCTGGACTAAGGCAAGGACCGTAGCTGATCTAATGCATAATCACAGGGCATACACAGCAAGCTCTAATGCAGAATGCGTGTGCCACAGATTCCAACTGCCCAAAGAAAATGGGTATGTTCGGGTCAGATTGAATGAAGTTCCAGACACTGCGCCGTTTGTCCATAACTCAAGAAACATACCCTATCTAGGTCGGATTATGAATTTGAACGAAATCAACAAAGGATGTCAAACAGCTTTTAAAGTCCTCGAGAAAATAGGGGTTAGGGACACCTTCAAGCTATCTGCAACCAAACTAACCAGGCATGCACCGTGCTTACCGGCCGGAGCTGTGTTAAGTGAGTATGTGTTGGGGTTGAAAGGTGCGCTTGACGGTCTTGTACTGTCTCCTATAGATCGGAATCCCGGGGCAACGCTCGTCGAATGCCCAATTTTATATCAAAGCGGGATGAGGTCTACATTCAATGACAATACTGATTTCGAAAGAATTGACACAAATGCATTCAGAATCGTTCTCAAACACACTTTTCATGCATGTAAACAGTAACGCAGCATACTGGCGACATGTGCCCACTCAAAACTCAGAGATATGGCTTCCAGATACGAGTTCACTCTCAATTGGCTATGACGACTTCAGCGCCCAAACATCTCACKGTTCACATACACTGGATCACCCTGGATACCCCACACGCATCACGCTAACACTCGAACACACACACACACACTACTAACTACAGCTATGGCAGCTGTCGCTGCATCTAACCTATCGCTATGCTAACTCCCTCTCTCTAGCCCACTTCGTCCCCGGGCTCATCTGCAGACCTCCTTGCACAAGTCGCTGTGGCAGCGCTTCCGCATGGCTCACGCAGGAATGAATGAAWGGCTGGGCGCTGCCTCTTGATTTATACTTCAGAGACTTGTTGGTCTGCCCTTTGCCATCGGCCCTTGGTGCTCACAGTCCCCCTGTGGTACTTGCTGGACCGGACTGGGACTGACTGGACCTTCCGCTGACTGACTGTGGACTCACCGCTATCCTACCGACGTTGTACTGYTGTTGCACTGCGGTTTAGTCCACCACTTGCCTCACCACTTGACCACTTGCCCACTTGCCTACCTTCTAGAAGGTCTACAGCTAAGCTTCCGGAACTCACTAAGACTTCTACGCTACAGACCTACAGATCGAACCCCTGTTGCCTATGGACCTACGACAGRCCTACCAACTAYCTACGAATACACAGGTCACAGGTTCRATTCTCGGGGTCTACACAGATACTGTACATGGGTAGGGTGAGGTCTAGGGATCGAACCCTGGGTACTGCATCCGCTACTGCTAAAAGGTGAAAACCGTTTCACTCCCGCCGTCCTAAATTCGAGGTCCTCCGAGAACATTTCAGTCCAAGGCGGGACCTTTACCTTTCTTGTCACGTTCATAGGCTCTGACTATGTCGGGAGCAGTCTCTAGAAGTTCTGCTTTCGTGAACCAGCGGTCGTCTTCCGGTTCCTGATARGCAAAACGGACCTTATATTGTTTCTGGGGACGACCTCTACCTCCTGTTCTGAACACATCCTCATCTACAATGCCTTCGATGTCATAACTTCCATCCATATCCGGGGGGATCATGGATCTTCTGGAAGGGAACTGTTGACTTGTGACACACGGTAGCACCTTTGAAGCATGAAACATAGGGTATGTGTGGAGGTGTGCTGGAATCTCAATGCTATAGGACGGTCCATCCTCTCCGCCCTTGACTTCTAGAACCGGCCACGGTCCTCTATATGCGGGCAGTAACTTTTGCGAGATGTTTTCTTCCGGTGCAAACTCTTTAGCCTTGACCCAGACTAAGTCGCCTACCTGAAACTGCGACGGGCGGTGGTGCTTATTAGCTTGCTCTATCATCCTATGTTGGGCCTTCCTGAGGTTTTCAACAACAGTTGCTAGTTCTTTCTCGTTCTGTATCGCAAACTCCCTGGTACCGGGCGGTAATCTGTGAATCTGATCCCTGTTCAGTCCTTCGAACGGTCTGCGCGGTCTAAAGGACTTGTGCAACTCATTGGGAGTGCGGCAGGTGGATAGATGCACACTGTTGTTGTATGCACTAGCGACCTTCGGCAACATCTCATCCCAGTTGATCTGATTTGGTCTAATATACATGCGCAAAACTTGTTGTAGGATCTTGTTCATCTGTTCTGTCTGATCGTTAGTCTCTGGGTGACGGCCGGACGACATAAACAACTTAGATCCGTAGACTCTCATGAGTTCTTGCCAGTTCTGGCTGGTGAAACGACTATCTCTATCACTAACTATTGACAATGGGATTCCATTCTCACTAACCCAAAAGTCAAAGAACTTTTGTATTACTAAATTTGTACGTGCCTCTGCAGGCAAAGGAACAAAAACGGCATACTTACTAAAACGGTCGACTATGACCATGACTTGGCTCTTACCATGTCTGCTCTTGACTTGCGTGTCCATGAAGTCTATGGACACTGAGTCTCCCGGCTGATCTGGGATAGGCAAGGGTCTGAGAAGACCTAGGGGGGCGCGTGTAGTAGATTTGTTCCTCTGGCATACTTTACAACTGCGGACATACTCTATGCAGTCGTTCTTCATTCCTGGCCATGTGTACGCACGCATCAGATTGGCTAACGTCTTTTGCCAACCGAAGTGTCCCTCAGTATCGTGACATTCCCCCAGAATCAGACTACGAATCTCTTCGCTGTAGGGAACGCACAGGCAGTCAAACACATTAGTCTTCTCAAACAGCAACCCGTCTGTAGTGCGGTAATCTGGTTCGGTCTCTGGGGCCTCTCTAACTCTCTTTACGAGGTCACTATAGATAGGGTCCTGCGTATACGCTTGTCTCACTTTCTCCTGCAGGTCTCTCCCTATATCCAGATAGTGTACTACGGCTCCAAAGTAGTTTGATCTCCTACTCAGAGCATCCGCAACTACGTTGTATTTGCCCTTCACTGGCTTGAGCTCAAAGTCGAATTGGTCTATCTTTGCGGCCCACCTAGTTAACTTAGGTGTCATCTTGGTCTGTGTCTTTAACCAACGAAGTGTCTCGTGGTTGGAATACACTTTGAAGTGCCTCCCAAGCAGATTGTGCGTCCAATGGTCTAAAGCCTGCCTGAGAGCGTAGAGTTCTCTCTCGTAGGTGGAGGTAGCGACCTTCTCACAGGGCATCCTCGCTGACATGAACTCTACGGGTCTATAGCCATTGCCGTCGTCTTGCTGCAACACGGCGCCCATCCCATACTGACTTGCGTCCGTGGTAACGACAAATGGCAAGGACGGATCTGCTACTTTGAGGATAGGGTACTCTATCAATGCGCGCTTCAATCTCTTTAGCGCAGACGTACAATCTTTGTCCCATTCCCAGATTGCCTCTTTCTTTAGCAGTCTAAGCAAGGGGGCGACGATAGTGGAGAAGTTCCTCACGAACTTCCTATAGTAGTTAGCTAAGCCTAGGAACGACCGCAACTCTGTTAATGTGCGGGGCGTCGGCCAGTCTCTAATCGCCGCGATCTTACTGTCCTCTGGCTTAATGCCATCTCCGTCCAACACGTGGCCCAAGTACAAGACTTGCGTCTTGGCCCACTCGCACTTCTTCGCGTTGATCTTGAAGCCTCTCTAAGCTTCTCCAAGACCTGCCTCAAATGACCCTGGTGCTCCTGGAGGGTCTTACTAAAAACTAGGATATCATCCAAATAGACTACTACAAATTTATCTAACCACGGTCTAAACAGGTCATTCATACAACGCTGAAAAGTAGCTGGCGCGTTGGTTAGTCCAAAGGGCATCAGTGCCGCATCACTATGAACTCATAGTGCCCGTATCTAGTCCGGAACGCAGTCTCATACTGATCGTCAGGATGGACTTCTATCTGATGGTACCCGGACTTTAAGTCTATCTTAGAGAAAGACTTACAACCCTGCACCCGATCTAAAAGATCGTCTATCCTGGACAGCGGCTCAGCATTCTTCACTGTGATCGCATTCAAACCCCTATAGTCTATACACATACGGAGTTCTCCTTCCTTCTTGGGGACAAACAAAACTGGTGCTCCAAAAGGAGACGAACTGGGCCTGATCCAACCTTTCTCAAGGAGTTCGTCTAACTGCTTGCGAAGCTCCTCTAACTCTCTAGGGGACATCCTGTAGACTGCACCCTTAGGAGTTCTACTGCCAGGCTCTATCTCTATCGTATGCTGGATGGGTCGCGACACTACTCCTGTCGGCGMCTCAGTCAAGTCTTTGAATTCTTCCAGCAGCTTGGCAATTGTTGGATCTGTGGAACTATCCTTTTCCTGGGCCTCAGTGACAGGTCTAACATAAACTACAAAGACCTGGTCTTGTAACTGCTCCTTCTTTATTAATCGCGCAAACGCGGGAGCACTGAGGCAGCAATGTGCCAAGGTGTTATCAACACCAGACACATGGAACAAGCGGGCAGTCTTAACCTCACCTGACGGACTAGGGAGCCTACACTCATGCTCTCTCAAATGAAGTGTGGCCCCTGCTGCCTCTCCCCAATCCATTCCTAACACTATATCGAAAGGAAGGTCATCCTGCACGAGGAGAGTCAAAGAATGGAGGACCTTCTCCACCTTTCCATTCTTCTCTAGGCGAAAGTACGCCTGGACTCCCTCTACGTAATCCTCAACACGCATTGTGCGGTTGTCTGCGAGGACACTGACTATGGGGTCTGTCAATTTCTGGACTTTTAATCCTAACCTCAGCTTCTTCAGCGCCCTACGGCTAATGTAACTACGGGTAGCCCCTGAGTCTATAAGGGCCCCTACCCTACTTCTAAATACCTCTACATCTACCAAAATCAGTTGTCCCTTACTCTCCCTTTTCATTTTGGCCCAGGCTGGCATCCTCTCCTTTAACTCTTCTACCACACCTGTGAGGGACGTGCCTAAAGAGACGCTAACGCAAGCAGTCTTTGGACAGCTATCTAGGCATGGGCCTGCAACCTCTGCCATAGGCGCATGTGGGTTGGGAGTGTCCTGTTCGCGCGCGCTCACTTCTCCACATGGCCTTGAAGTAGGGGCAGTTGCGACCCCTACTGGCGGCTGCCTTTTGACTGTTGGGCAGCCCAACGGGCCTGTCTATACTTTGGACAAAATTTGATAACGTGGGCCGGGTCACCACAGAACACGCACTGACCCCGGTCCACGCGTTCCTGCCATACGCGTTGGTCCAAGCCCAAGTCTTCCCAGGGCCTGCCCTGTGGCAAGCCTGGGTGCCAACCTCCTTGAGGTGCCCTTCCACCTCTTCGTTGTAGGGACCGATTACCCTGGCGATTTAACGGGGGACCTTGACCCCTACCTCCCGCTTGGCGGTTTCCCTGTCCGCCAACCCCCTGGGCGCCCGGTCCTCGGCCTCCCATGGCCTGGCCCCTTTGGCCCTGGCCTCCTCCTCTACCTTGCGGCCTCCCTCCGGCCGCGACAGCAGCGTAAGACCTCCCCTGCCCTACACTACTGTACTCCTCCCCTAGGCCCCACTCAATCTGATCATATGGGACCTCTTTTGTACCACCCTCCTCTAATGTCAGGATCAAGTGATCCTTGGCCTTGACTTGGCCCGAGATGGTACGATCCTTCCACTTCTTCCCCTTCTCCAAGTCCTTATGCCAAAAAGTGGTAACTGGCATAGACTTCGACTCATACAGGACGACTTCCCTACTCAATGCATCGTAAGTGATGCCGGCCTGCTGAGACTTGTCAAAGAAATGCCCACGTAAAGGCCTCTGGAATGGCACGATAAAACAACTGGACCAACTGGGGCTTAGTGACCCCATGGTCCGGGACGGCTACCAAGTCGTCCATGGTACTCTTGAGTGCCTTGGCACTCCTCCACTGCCGTGAGTGGATCGTTTGCAGCTTGTTAGAGGCTCTAATGCCTCGCGTTGGGTCAATGAAACACTCCTTGAGGAGCTTGAGGAATTGGGAAAGAGGGGTGACTTTGGAATATGGAACCAGGTTGTTTTCACAACCGGCTGTACGCGCGAGAGACCTGGCGAAACTAGCCGCTTCATCTTTGAGGGCCTGGAAGGCCACGATGACTTGTTCCTCAATCAGGATGTGCAGTAAGTAAATGTAACTATTGATGCCAATTTCTGCTCCTCCTCCCTTTCTCGCCTTTCCATAGGATCTGTCATTGTTGCTAGCTCACTAGCTTGCGCAGCCCTCTCATCCTCAGTCACATAGGACTCTGCCTCCTCCTCTTCACCCAACGATAAATTAGCGGCCCACTCGCTGATCTTCTCCTTCATCTCAATATCTGTCTCCCTCATCATCGTGCCACCACTGCTCCCTTTTCCACTCTCAATTCTCATCCTCTCTTTCTCTTCCTCCACCGCCGCTTCTTCTTCAGCGGCTTTCTTCTTTCTCGCCATCTCCTCCTCTATCTATTTCATCTTCGCTGCCTGCTCATCCGCGATACCCTTTAACTTAGCTTGCTTCTCGCGCTCTTTTCTCTCCCTGTTCTCTTTCACTAAGGCGGCCATCTTTGCTTGCTGCTCAGCGGCATAAGGGGTAGTAATCGTCCCTTGGCGGGTCTCAACCATGGTGATAGGTGCACAATCAGAATGATTCCACTCCTCACCACGTAGACTTTAACCCCTGACCGACAGACCTACTGACTCAATCTAAGACTCACAGAATCCTGACAGGGATCCTGTCAA